ATGTTGCGTCGAAGCAGCATAAAAAACATTTATTTTTAAATTAAAGAGTCACCGCAGTGTAGCCGTAAATAATCTTGATTCAAATGAAACAACAATGCTGCTGGTGAAAAACTAAGACTTAGCGTTTGACCCAGAAGTGGGAAAAGATCCGAGGATACCTAAGGTGAGCAGTGTGTAACTTTAACTCGTGTCTTTGCAGAGCTCATGTGAGTGTGAAGGCAGTCACTGAGAACTCATTCACTGAGGCGTGTTTCCACATGTTCACCTGAGGAGCCTCCAGGTGTTCAAACCCAGAGACGTGTACCTGCCTGCAGGAGACAGGAACACATCTCAAGTCTCAGAGCAGGAGGCCTTCAGGTTGTTTGTTTCCTTATAATCACACAGTCTGAGGAAAACAGCTGTGAATGTTGGTCATGTGACTGTTTTTTAATACCTTAACCCAGGGGTGTCACATACAGAGAAACCCCAGAAGGGCTGGGTAAGGTAAGGTACGATTATTTATAAAGCCCATTATCAGACACAGAGGCAATTCATTCATTTACATCATCATTAACACGTAACAAGAAGACAACAGAAAGGAACACAATAAATAAACACAATGGAATAACAGATTCATAAAAACATGCATAAAAGAGATACAGTTTAAAAACAACATTGTAAATACGGTATGAGCTAAAAGAAGTTGAAAGACTTCTGGGTAAGCAGCTGAAAAAAGTAGTGTTTTTAGCCTCGACTTCAAAGAAATGGGGCGAAGCCTGCGAGCTAGTTCAGGAAGTCAACTCGAGCACTTCTGCTGCATTCATACATAACGCCCCTTGCCACTCTGCAACCAACCAAACAGAGTCTCCTTAATATGCCGCTCTATTTCACCTGCCAGATCTCTCTCTATGCATTGCTTGCTGCTGTTATTGCTGCAGCTACTTCCACGTCTCTGCTGCTCGCTGCCCCCCCACCACCCCAGCTTCCACCTGTAGGCCCTGGGGTTAGTTATCTAATCATCACTCATGGTGCTATGTATATCTGTGGAGTGATGAGGCCCGAGCCTAGACGCCAAACTCAACTATATGCTGCTTCTAATAAACATGTTAAAGAAACACGTGAGTTGTCTGACTGAACTCAGCGTTGGAGAAGACTTCAGGTTTTATCCTAGACGTCTATACACTAAAGCAGGGGTTTCAAAGTGTGAGCCTCAGGGGAGGCGCGGCGTGAGAATACAATAACGAGAAACAGTGAAATCTAGCTAGTTAACTTCAGCTAACTTTACGCGCCATGAATGCCCGTCTCTTCTCCATCCTCTGCAATGAGAAGGGCGCTCACTTCCACCAGCTGCTGCCGCACTCCGAGGTCTGATGGCTGTCCCGGGGCAAGGTCCTCACTCGCCTGTGTGATTAGCGCGAGGCTGTTCTCCTCTTCCTCGCCAAAATCAACTCCCCACTGGTCAAGCACATGGAGGACATGAACTGGGTTGCAATGCTGGACTCTCTGTCCGATATCTTTGACCGGATAAACGTGTTTATTCCTGTTTACATTGCATCCCCGCATCATCCACGAGTGTAATAAGGAGGCCAAGTTGACGTGTAGTGTGTTGCCGGGAGCATATAAGGATTTATCCACGATGTTGAAAATGTTAAAAATGTTTAAAACATAAAGATAAAAAGGTTTAAAAAAGTAAGTGTTTCATGTTTTAAGGAGGTGACGCTTCTCAGCCAATCAAATGGGTGCAGTCAGTGAGTCAGCACGATAGATTCAAACACGAGACAAGAAGAGAGAAACAGTCGGAGTCATTTCAAATGGCGTGCTTATTCTACTATTTCAACAATTAGAAAATACATCCGAGAAAGTCATCCAGTTGCAGGATAACTAAAAATAAATACATCTGTAATTAAATACTCTCACAGATAAACACAATTCTATATATAGCCTACATACATAGTATACACATGCAGACATATACATACACACATTTCCAGGGTGAAAATAAAATAGTCCATGTTCAGACGGTTTCATTTTCAACTACTTTTATATAAACTAGACTGAATAAAGACTTCTATACAATCGGACTTATTTTGGAAACCTTTTCATTTTTGAGTCACCCACTTTTTCCTCCGGATGTGGTTAGATGTTTACAAAACCTTCCCAGAATTAACAGCAAATCTCAATACCGTTTTAAAAGAGTTTACCGAAGGAGCCACTGATCTGATTGAACTGGAAACACCACAACAAGTTCCTGAAAAGATATGTCCTGTATCCCAAAGTGACTGCTCTTCAGTAACAGTAAAACATGCAGTATGTTGGCAACAAGTCGTGTAACTTTAACAACAAAACATCCAGACCGATCTATATTAAGGCGGGTTTCTGTGACGTGTTATTCGACCACATGAGAGGGAGAAGGTATTTATAGCTGTGGCCACACAAGAAGAAGGAGCGAGACCCCTGCTGTGAGGAGGGGGCTGCAAAGAAAACGTCAAATAAGGGGATAACGAGCAAACTTGAACAAACTCTCATCTGTTCTGAGAGGCATTCATAAAGCTCAATTTGGTGGAAGAAGAAAGAGAAGTTTAAAATCTAACCAAACCTTCCCAGTGCTGACGTCAGAAAAGTTTGGGTTAGAGATACTGTTCAACAATCCCTTATCAACAGAGACATCTTTTTGGAAGTACCTTTCAAATGCATTAGCCGCTTTCACACAAAGTACTTTGCCGTACTTAGTTCCCAGCACTTAGTTCCCCCATGGAACTAAATTCAGATCGCGTTCACACCGGAATAAGTTCTTGAGGGAGGATTAGGCAAATGAAGCCGCTGACGTCACTTCTTCTTCTTCTGCTTTGGGTTTATTGGCAGGCCGCAAACCACTTCACGGCGTATACTGCCACCCGAAGTCCCCGGCCGGAAGTCCTCAGAGTTGGGGACTGGCTTCAGTAGAAGCTGCTGGGACTCCCAGCAGCCAAACGACTCCAAACGACTTTAGAGCTGCAATTATTAGGTCAATCCATTAGTTGATGACATTTGTACGGTTTATTTATGGAATTAGTAATTGTTATTGCCAAAAACGTCTCCTAAAACTCTCTTGTTGAAGAGAACGTTTGAAGAAATCGGCTTAAATTGAGTATTTTGGTCGGCTAGCCTAAGGCACAACGTTTGAAGGCGCAGAGGATTGTTTTTAGCGAACAAAACTGTTCATTTCCTTACATGTAATATTTAGAATTCTAAATATTACATGTAAGGAAATGAACAGTTTTGTTCGCTAAAAACAATCCTCTGCGCCTTCAAACGTTGTGCCTTAGGCTAGCCGACCAAAATACTCAANAAGGAGACAGGTGATAGGAACAAGTTCAATAAGTAAATATTGAATGAAATATATAACTTTTTTATCATCTACTGGTATACAATATATATATATATATATAGTATTTATATATTGTCTACCTTCATCATTGACTGTTGATGGCAAGTCAATGTGTTAAGCTGTGATAAAAGGTGTTGTTAACCTAACTACCTCTTTTCCCAATTATCGAGTACTTATATATAGTAGGTAGTAATAAATCGATTATATATATTTTACTATATACTATGGAAATTAGTAAACATTATCTATTTAAGCAGGTAAAGTCACAACTAAACATTGGCTTTAATGTTTTTGATTACAGATATATGTTGTTTTACAACTTTTCTTTTGAAAATGTCTGTATAAGGTGAACACTTGTATTCTGATTATGGATGCTGCAAATTTCCCGTTAATCCAGCCTCTCAGTTCAGAAGCATGACAGGTCAGCTGTTAGGTCTCAGTCTCACCTCATCACAGGTCCAGTCTCAATAGGCTTGTCTATTTTTTGTCCTTGTTAGGCACAACACGGAAATATGAATCCTCCCCATCTGCAATCATTTTTCGAACGCAGACTATGTTGGCTTGTCATGGCTGGGAAAAGTGCAGGTATCATACACAATGAAAACTTAGTTCCTCCCTATTTAATGCCAGGGTGATTCCAGGCCCTGTTGTGCTTGTTGTCACACTGCCATGCTCATCTGCTTACTTGATTGAAGGTTAGCATTGCTTTAATGAGATATGTGTCACCTGAACTCTTTCCTTGCTGGCAAGTCAAATGTGTAAGGCTGTGATAAAAGGTGTTGATTAATTACTGTAAGCTACCTCTTTTCCCATTATCTTCGATGTTTTGTAGCGTTTTCATCTTTTCACTTCTCTTCTATTATCGTGAGCTGCTATTCTCGCACATTCTTGAAACACTCTTCTAATGTGCCCTTCAGCTTTAATGACTTCGGAGGATTTATGTTTCAGTTTTGTCCCTCCTATTTTCATGGAGCGATCTTCTCAGAACCTCTCAGAGGGAACTTCTTCAAATTTTGGCACATACCTCCAACCAGTCTAACCGTTGAAATTCCTTAAGAGTTGGGGTGCTTCAATGGTAATGTGACTTCAGGAAAACCATTTTAGGCTTTGAACTCAGGGATTTCATAGTTGTTAATAGGGCGCTTTCACACCGGAGTACTTTTCCCAGGAATTGTTCCGATAGTTCCTGGGATTTTGCGTTCACACTAAAAAAATCTGGAACTAGAACTTTTTGCGAACCTTTTCACCCCTTTTCAGTCCCTGCTAGAGAGCACGGACTTTCCTGGGGAGAAAAAGGTTCCAATTTCTGCGCTTCTGGCAATTTACTCGGAAGGCTTCTACTGAA